ACAGGCAGCCTCTCCAGAGCCTGGATGTTACCCTCCTGGGAAACCTGTGATGAGGACCGGGGTGCACAGGTGTGCTGAGGACACCCTCCAGGACTGGCCCCGGGGCTCAGACTGGCAGGCTGGGGCCACGTCCAAGCCTCGTGGTCTCGGTGCATTCACTCTGACGCAGACAGACGTCGGCTGAGCATGTGGTCCTGAATTCCATCCTTGGCACAGAAGAAGTTTTCGTTAGAAGGAACTCCAGCCACAGTGGACCTGCGCCTGCAGGTCTGTGTCTTGCTACACGTGAGGGCCAGGCTGGACGGGCCCCCACAAGGGTAGAGGAGTGGCCGGCTCTGGCCAAGCTGCCAAAGCAGGAGGCCTGACGGGATGGAACCTCGCAGTGGAGACACCCCGTGGGAACAGGTGCGCCCGCACCGCTTCTGTGCTGCTGAGGGACTGGGGGCGTAGCCTCAAGGAGCGGCTCCTTCTGTTGCTTTCTGCTGTAAGGTGGTTTTTCTTCCGGTTTGATGAGAGAAGTTAGTCGGGCCTCACAAGGATTTACTCACCGGCTGAGTGCTGAAGAACTGGCCTGCTGTGGGGCCTGCGTGAGCCACACGTCACCACACCACAGGCCTCACAGGAGGCCCTGCTCCCGCAGCAGAGCAGCTGCTGTCACCAAGGCAGTGGCCAGATCAGGAATTCCGGGACCCACAGGAGGGGTGGAGACCATGGCTCTGCCAGCTCCTGTGTTTTCGGAATCTGTCAGCAGACACTCTGTCCACGGTGGAATATGCCCACGGGTGTCGGGCAGATGGGGAGTTTCAATATTGTCTCCTGTAGGGGGTCTCAGTTTAGAGGAAAGAAGCCTCATTCTCTTGACGATGGTTTAATTCCTTAAGAACTCGCTAGAATCTGCCCCTCAGCATCTGCCTGTGGTGTGTCTGGATTTGGGGGCAACGTTGGCTCTGTAGTTCGTGACTAATAGGTCTCCTTGTCTGCCTGAGCGTGTTGGGCACCAGGGAGCATCCAGGGAATTGCACTCTCATGTGGCAGGAGGGGGCGTCTCCAGCCCTCGCTCCTCACCGCTTTTCTCAAAGCCGTGCCCCTGGGATCCCCACTTTCCCTTCCCAAGCCTGGGCGGCATCTGTGCTGGGCCCTGCCAGGACCTTCCTCCTCATGTGAGGCATGTTACTGCTGACACTGGCTCCAGGCCTCAGGTGTGGTGGACCCTGCCCAAAGGAGTGTGGCCCGGATGACGGGTGAGTGCATGAGGGCTCCAGCTCAGCCGCTCCCACCCAGCCGCACCTGGGCTTGATTCTCCCTGAGCTGAGACTCCTGGGCAGGACCTGGAAGCTGAGCCTGGGGTAGGACCTGTGGTGCCTGCACGCTGCCTGTGCCCGCAGACGGCTTCTTCTGGGCCCTGAGTGGGCCCCGAGGCTGCGTGTCCACTTGGCCGAAGCGGGGTGCTCTGGACACCTGGTGATTGCGGGTGGAGAGTGGAGCCCAAGCGCCTGCTGGCCGTATGTGTGGGGCCTGGAGGCCACCAGGGAGGATTTGTTTCAGAGAGCACAGAACAATTTTTTTGTTTTTTGTTTTTTTTGAGACGGAGTTTCGCTCTTGTTACCCAGGCTGGAGTGCAATGGCGCGATCTCGGCTCACCGCAACCTCCGCCTCCTGGGTTCAGGCAATTCTCCTGCCTCAGCCTCCTGAGTCGCTGGGACTACAGGCACGCGCCACCATGCCCAGCTAATTTTTTGTATTTTTAGTAGAGACGGGGTTTCACCATGTTGACCGGGATGGTCTCAATCTCTTGACCTCGTGATCCACCCGCCTTGGCCTCCCACAGTGCTGGGATTACAGGCTTGAGCCACCGCGCCCGGCCCAATTTTTTTGTTTTTATAAATCGGCTCCTGAAGGTTGCATTTAAGCACTTGGGCTGACAGGGTCTGAGAGGATGCGTTTGCCTTTAGCGGAGTTTTGGATTTTGTGGCAGAGTGTCCATGACAGTTGAGGGGGTGCTGGGACAGATTCAGCTCCTGAAATGAGACCAGCTGCGCAGGTGCACAGCGGGCGACCGTCACCGCGCAGCTCCGTGCAAATCAGAGTGACCGTGTGACTTCCTTGCACAGAAAACGGCCCTTCTCCTGGGCTGACACCCGTGCCCTGGGCCTGTGGACACCCTGCCCAGGCAGCATGCCTCCTCGGTCATCCAAACAATAAGAAATGCAGGAATTTCGTTATCCACGGGCAGGTGGGTGACCCTGGCACGCAGCGTTCCCGTGAAATCCCAAGAGCTGGTGAGACAGGATGCCAGGCCGCCCTTTCTAGGGCCTTTTCGTGTAGCTACTAATAATGAAATACCTCTTAGATGGCTTTTTAAAAATAGCATTCAGGGTATTTGTTTCCCCTTTCAAAAGAAAGGAATCCCTTCCAAAAGTAGGCGAGCCAGAAAGGCCCAGCCTGGCCGCTTTCCGCATGAGCGGCCACGACTTTGCTGAATTGGAAGGCGAAGGGGGCTGGCCAGCTCTGGCCCGTTCAGCCTGGCCTGATCACTCCTTTACAGCCTGTGAATGAGGTGGCTCTGGGGCGGGGGGGGCGGGGGGAGGTGGGTGGACGGCCCCTTCCGAGGCCCTGGGGTCCATCAGATGTTTGTCCTTTGGGAGCCTGCCTGAAGTGCTGAGATAAAGCAGTTTTTAAACAGTTTCCAGCAGATGCCTTTTGGGAGACAGAGCCATGAATTTCCTGAGCTGCGTCCTGGGGTGGCTACAATGGCCGTCTGCCTGCCAGGCCTTCTCCCATTCAGGGAAAGCAGCTTAAGCCACTTAAGCCCATTAGCATCTGGATGGGACTGGACCTCCTTGGGATGCAGGGATGGGCAGGGTGGCCCGCTCTGTCCTGGCTGTGTGGGTGCTTGTTCTAATCCTCACGCTGTTTGAAGGCTCCAGACTGATTTGTGACACATAGTCCAAAAGCCACTTTGGGGGCTTGACCCGAGCCGTGATCTGTGCTCGGAAATGCCAATGGCCCGCCCCCAGGCTGCTCTGCGGATGGCGGACAGCCGCCTCCTGGCCCCGGCTGGGGCGCCGCAATCCAGCCACCCAGAGGAGGACTCTGCATCCTGGCAAGGCGTGCCAGGCTGCTGAGAGGCCCCAGGGTTCATGCCCTCAGCTCCTGCTCAGTGCACGCCGGGAGCCTGCGAAGGAAGGCTGGGCACTGGCCCAGGGATACCCTCCTGAGCCCTGGCCAGTGCCCGGGATGTTGGGGTGTGCCTCAGCAGTACCAGCTCCCAAGGGCTCTTCAGGGAGAAATTTCTGACTTTTCATGCAGTCATCATTTTTTTAAATAAAGATCATTATTTTCTTACAAAGCAGCTTTATGGGCCAGGTTTAGCTGCTCACATCTGTAATCCTAGCACTTTAGGAGGCTGACATGGGATGATCACTTGAGCCCAGGGGTTCACAGTCAACCTGGGCAACATAGCGAGACACTGTCTCTACAAAAACTTACAAAATTACAGCTGCAGGTGCATACCTACAGTCCCAGCTACCTGAGCAGCTGAGGTGTGATGATCACCTGAGCCCAGGAGGTGGAGGTTGAAACAAGCCTTAATCCCACCACTGCGCTGCAGCCTGGAGGAGAGACCAAGACCCTGTCTCCAAAACAGAAAAGTTGAATTAAAAGCCAGCTTTATTGAGGTATAATTTACACACAGACTATAGTCCAGTCTAGACCATCCCTTCAGCCCCACCTCAGTTCCCTCCCGGCCTCGCCGCCTTGCTGCCTCTGCCTCTCCGACTTCGCCCTTTCTGGGAATTTTGTGTAAATGGAATCTGCAGTCTGTGGCCTTTCGTGTAAGGAAGCGGCTGCGCCCTCTTCCTCCTGCACCAGTGATGCCGCAGCCCCGGTGCCTCTGCCTGCTCCCCCACCGTGAGCTCAGGCACCTCGCCTTCCAGCCGAGCTTTGATCTCTCCCAGCGTGTGGGTCTCGCTCCTCCCTTGTCCGGTGTGGTCCTGGGTGTTCTTGTGTCTTCATGACTTCTGCCAGGCTCCGAGAGCTCAGTGCCTGCAAGGCCTCTGTGCCGGGGACAGGGGCTCCTAGTGGAGGCCAGTCCGCCCAGGGAGGGCTCTGCAGTGCTGTCCTACCTTTAGGGACTGACTCTCAGTGACCATACCTTGCATTGTATTGAGGTTGACAAGAGGAATTTTCAAAACAGTCCTGAAAATAACCCTTCACATAGATCTGCACTGGTGGTCTGCCGGCCAGGACCATGCCTCCTGGAGCAGCAGTGTGGCAGAGAGGTTGGTGCTCACTTAGCCTCCGTCTCCTCTGCTGCCCAGACGGCTGCCCCTTCCCATAGCCGGCCAGGCCACTGAGCATCCGTGGGCACACCCTGGCCCTGCAGACTCCTGCCCAGCCCTCTCCCTGGTCCTCCTGGTTGGTATGGTCCCCAGAACCCTGGTGGAACCCCCAGTCTCTTCTTGGGTCCTGTCTACCTGCCTCCGTGCCTCTGCCCGCCCCAGCCTCTCCCCCAGGGACTGGTTTGAGCCGGTTAACACCATGAAGCAGGAGGGTGACCTCAGTCGTCCCTTCCACATCCGCTTCACAGGATGAGCCAGTGGAGACTGTTCCCAGTCAGCCCTCCTGCAAGCCTCCCGCTGTTGCAGTCCAGCAGCTCTTGAGGGAGTGCAGGGATAGGAGAGCGGGCGGGAGGCCAGCCAGGGGCCCCACAGGCGCCGTCTGTGCTGTTCTCAGCGCCGCGGGGCCTCAGGAGCCTGCTGGGCTTGCCCTGGCCTTTGCCCCAAAGCAGCTTTGTGTGCAGCAGCAGCTCTGGGGCGGCCCTGCGGTCGCAGCTGGCCTCAGGCCCTTCGCACATGCCAGGGTTGGCTGCGCAGGAGCGGCCCCTGGCCCCCAGTGTGGAAATTGGTGTGACACTGGCTGCTGTCTGGAACTGGCCAACCCATCCCACTGACTGGAGGTGTCAGGGGACGCTGCCGTGGGTGCCTGGACCGCTCTGGGACTGACCTCTGTTGCTCTCTTTCTGCAGACGCTCTGCACAAAGGCCACCATGCAGACTGTCCGGGCCGCCGACACCAACGAAGTTGTGAAGCTCATATTTCGTGAGTCGGACAATGACCGGAAGGTGAGTGGGCCTGTGACTAGGTGGGCGACACAGGGGCCACGGCCGGCCCAGCCCGGCCTGCACGGGACTCTGCAGCCTTCCCGGGGCAGTGGGGGCCAGGGGACGAGGCTGGGGGAGCTCAGGTGCTGATGGGCCTCTCTGACCTCAGGTTATGCTCCAGTTAGAGAAGAAGCTGTTTGACTATGTCAACCAGGAGGTCTTCCGGGACAACAACGGCACTGCGGTAAGTTCGTGGCTCCACGTGGCGGCCCCCGCCCTGTCCTGGGACAGCCATGTCCCCGGCCCTCCTGTCGCCTCTGCTTACCTGGGACCACCTGCCTCGTCCCTGCCACCTCCAGGGCTCGGTTTTGAGCCGAGTGCAAGGCGGACTGCTGGGGACACATGTTGGGTGCGTCCGGCACCCCGGGCCGGGTTGGGCTGAGGCTCCCATGTCACTCCCCTGTCCACGGGCAGTGTGACGCCCACGCAGCCCATCAGCTTCAGAGCCCCTCATGTGTGCGAGGTCAGACACTGATGCTTTGGGATGGGGAGGAAGTCCCCTTGTCTCAGGGTGGGCTGGCGGGGCTTGGGCTTCGCCCTGAAGCGGGAGAGTGAAGGGCACAGGTTCCTCACACCCCCGTGCTAGACTTGCTGTGTGGGTCTGTGTGTCAGCACGTATGTGTGCATGTGTGTGAGCGCTAGGACGCATGTGTGCATAAGTGTGTGTCTGCATGTATGGGGGTGGGTGTGCAGCTGTGTGGCCACGAGCACGTGTGTAAACCGAAGTGCATGTCAGCGGGAATGTGCAGCTCATGCCAGTCCACTGAGAACAGGCCGTGCTGGAGGCAGCCCCCGCTGCAGAGCCTGCTGTCGGCTTTGAAATCACGAGTCTTCCCTTTGAGGGATCAGTGTGGGCAAACGCTGAGGGGCGGCCTACACACTCTCTTTTTAATTTTCATTTTTGACTGTGGTCTACTTTGTTCTCATTTTTAATGTATTTATAAATGTTTATCGATGCAAAGAACCAGGAACCATGCAGCTCCTGGCTGGGGCCCAATGTGCGGCCTGGGCTGATTTCCGTAAATGCGCCACCGTAGCCATCCCAAGCCACGTGTGATGCTGTGCGCAGCGAGCCAGCGTCTGAGACCTGGAACTCTCGGAATCAGTTCCTAGGGCTGTCCTGAGCCAGCTGTGGTCCTCCAGCACTGCGTCAGGGCAGGCGGCTTCTGCCCTGGGGAGCTGGCGGGTGGTGGCCATGGGGGAGGGGAGGGAGCACAGGCAGGTGGACCCAGGCCGGGTGCAGCCGTGTTCACATCCCGGCGTCCTGGGCCAGCCAGGAGCTCTGGGGTCTGTGCCTGTGCCTCAGTTTCTCCTCATGAGGTGTGAGGGGCTCATAGGTCAGTGCATGCAAACTGCTTAGGAGAAAGCTGAGCCATCTCAGTGCCCAACAGAAGGGCACACTCAGCCCAGCGGACACTGCCAGCCCGCCCAAGTCCCAGGCCCAGAACCTCCACTCCAGGACCAGATTCGCTGCCTCCCCAGCGTCCCCAAGACCCATGCTCCTGTCCTCTCGGGAAGTCACTTCTGCCTCCTGCACCTCATCGACCCAGAGCCCATAGGCTCCCATGACACCCGCGCCTCTGCGGTGCCTGGGCCTCCTGTGCCCCGTCCCTCTTGCCTGCTGCAGGAGGACACGGCCCCTTCCCCCACTGTGGTCAGATCAGGTCTTGGTGTTCCGTCCCCACATGGCCCCTTGGCCTGGGGAAACCTGAGGTCTCCTCCTCTTGTCTCCATCCAGGCAGACTTGGTTTCCTCCTGCTCCGTCCGTGGGAGGCATCGGGTACTCTCCCCTGCTCCACCACCTGCACCTGGTGGAGACGCCTCCTCCTCGAGCCTCCAGGGCCTGGTGGGGCGGTCCACCTGTGGTTCTCAGTGCTCCTGCATGCCTCTTCCTGTGGGACTCTGGGCTCCAGGGTGTTTCCCGCTGCCGGGCAGCTCCCGGGTGGCACCTCCCGGCCTCGTCAGCAGGGAGAGCCTGCAGAGCACAGGTGTCTAGGTGAAGGCAGGTGTCTGGGTGGAGGCAGGTGTCCAGGAGTAGTCTGGATGGAGGCGGGTGCCCAGGAGGAGTCTGGGTGGAGGCGGGTGCCCAGGAGGTGTCTGGGTGGAGGCGGGTGCCCAGGAGGAGTCTGGGGAGGTGGGTGCCCAGGAGGGAAACAGGGCTGCCGTCCTCACAGCTGCATGGCTGTTGGAGCTTGGCGGAGGTATTTTCGGGTCCCCTAACAGAGCTGCCTTCTCAGTGCAGGGGCAGCGAGGTCTCCAGGGACCTTGCACAGGGCATGAAGAAAGTGGAGGGTCCCTTGGAGGAGGAAGCCAGGGCAGCCAAGGGGGATGGAACGTCCTGGAAGGAGCAAGGAGGCAGGCAAGAGGGAGGCTCCTACAGCCACAGGTGGAATGTGGGGGGCAGATCTTAGTTGGGGTGGTGTGAAGGGGTATGCAGCGTGGAGGGGGTTACAGCATGGAGGGGGTTTCGGCGTGGAGGGGGTGCAGTGTGGAGGGGGTGTGTCTAGAGCATCTGGGAGTGATTGTCTTTCGTGTGGGTCCAAAGTCGTCGTCTCTCTCCGCGTCTCGACACAGAGCGGGGCCCTGCGTCGGCAACCACCTGCCTTTAGAAGAAAACGAACCTGAGTACTGTATTTGGGAGAACTTTTGGATTTGATTCTGAATGAAAACCCACAGTGGGGTGGAAGCACATTCCCCTGTGACTGTGGGAGGCCCCACACTCCGTGTTTGTTGATCACGTCAGGAGTCCCACACGGACAGGTGGCCAGAGCTCGGGGGCGCCTTCCCAGGCTGTTTCTCGTGGTCTCTCCAAAGAACTGGCGTGAGTGGAGCCGATGGCTCGGCGCTGCTGTCCTGCTGCTCAGACCCTCTCTGCTTGGCGCCTGGGACGACGGCGCCTTTGGGAACGCCCCGTAGGTTCCTGCTGGCCTGGGTGCCCTCGCGCCTGCCTGAGGTGCCGGCACGCCGGCTCTGTCGTGCCCGGGAGCTGGGAGTTGTCCCCATTGACTGAGGGTCAGGGTGGTCAGCCCGGTGAGCCCGGGAGAGAATCCGTCTCCACAGTCCGGTTGCACGCACAGTGCCGCGACTGTGAGAGCAGACGCGTCCGCAGGATGGATGTGCCCGCGCCGCCGCAGCCCTGGTCCGTCGCACCCTTCATCAAACGCCGGTCTTGTACCCGCCTGACAGAAATTTAATTCGAGCTGGCTCCTGAAAATAATTATTGTATTTTAAGAGTAGTAATCATTGGCCGGGACATGATTGAATGTGTCCATGCCTATTGACTTTTCCTATGATTTATAGCTTTGTTTAGTCGATATTCCCATCGAAATTGTATAATTAATTATAAGTGTGGCTGTCAGGGCTGCAGGATGGAGTGCCCTGGTGAGGATTTGGAGAGATTAAATTTTCCTTGCTGTCCCAGGGCCAGGCTTGGGAATTTCCGCAGTGCCGGCCTCTTGGAGGGAGATGTCTTCTGTGTGTTTAGCAGCCTCGCCAGCCCCAGGTGCATTGATTTTCCGGGCCCTGTTCCTTTATCAGCGCCGGTGTCTGCCGGAGCAGCGGAAGCGTGGCGGGGACTGCTCCTGACAGATGCGTGGGATCAGCCCCTGCTTTGTCACTGTCCACACGGCCTGCCTGCCTTCACTTTGTAATCAAGAAGAATGTGGAAGACCATGCGAAATTGGTTATTGTGTTTGTGAAGAATCTCAGAGATACAAATTATCAATTCAGCAGCAACACGTGCGGTTTCTAATCAGACACTTCTCCTATTTTGTTCCTGCCGCAGCGGGGCCTCACGCACGTCATTCTGGGGCGACAGCCCCCATGCCAGCCATGCAGGGTGAGGCTCCCTCTGACCTCTCAGAGCCAGAGGTCAAGCAGGGACACACTGGGACCCTCCCACCACACGGGACCCTCCCGCCACACAGCTGTCACGGTCCCTGCGCAGTTTCACATTTGTGTCACGGTCGTGTGAACCTCTGCCTCCCTGGCTACGCGGGAAGGCCCGGGGGCAAAGACCGCATGTCCAGTGGAGTGTCCGGCACAGTGCCCGGTGCAGGAGCAGCACGGCCAGCCCGCGTCTGATGAGGATGGAGGCAGGCCCAGGCCAGGACACCTCTGTCAGAAGACAGGCTCACTAGTGAACAACGGAGATTCCCAGCCGGGGTTTTCTCTCAGGGCTGGTGAGTGTGGGTAGGCCCGAGGGCATCACAGTGGACAGAGGACAGCCTGGGGCCCTCACCCCTCCACCCCCAGCTCCAGTACCATTTAAGCAGCTTGAAGGTTCAAGTTCATTTCAGACCACACACGTGTTTCCTTTTATTTTTACTTTGCACCGCCAAAACTATGGTCCTTCTAACACAGAAGACACTGAACAGACTCAAAACACCACCACCCAGGCAGGATGCTGGCCGAGGACCCCATTCAGTAAACACCAACACCCAGGCAGGACGCTGGCTGAGGAAACATCACCACCCAGGAAGGATGCTGGCCAAGGACCCCATTCAGTAAACACCAACACCCAGGCAGGATGCTGGCCGAGGACCCCATTCAGTAAACACCAACACCCAGGCAGGACGCTGGCTGAGGAAACACCACCACCCAGGAAGGATGCTGGCCAAGGACCCCATTCAGTAAACACCAACACCCAGGCAGGACACTGGCCAAGGACCCCATTCAGTAAACACCAACACCCAGGCAGGACACTGGCTGAGTAAACACCAACACCCAGGCAGGACGCTGGCTGAGGGTCCCATTCAATCACCATGGGAAAGAGGGGGCCCCCAGCCACCGAAAACCTTGGGCAGCCACAGCCTGCTCCTTCCCGAGTTTTCCAGCTTCCCCACAACTTGCCTTGGGGTTGTGCTTACTGGTGTGTGTGTGAGCATGTGTGTGAGCATGTGTGTGTGTGTGATGTGTGTGAGCATGTAAGCATGTGAACATGTGTATGAGCATGTTAGTGTGTGTGAGCATGTGAGCATGTGTGTAAGCATGTGTGAGCACTCGTGTGAGCATGTGTGTGCATGTGCATGAACAAGCTTATGCATAATATGCATATGAGCGGGTGTGTATGAGCACGTGTGAGCAAGCATATGCATGTAAACCTGTGTGAGTATGCACAAGCATGAGTGGGCATGTGCATGTGTGTGTGAGCCGCCATATGCATATGAGCGGGTGTGTGTGTGTGAGCATGTGTGAGTGGGCGTGTGTGAGCCACCATATGCATATGAGCAGGTGTGTGTGTGAGCATGTGTGAGTGGGCGTGTGTGAGCCGCCATAGGCATATGAGCAGGGGGGTGTGTGTGAGCATATGTGAGTGGGCGTGTGTGAGTTGCCATATGCATATGAGCGGATGTGTGTGTGAGCATGTGTGAGTGGGCGTGTGAGTCGCCATATGCATATGAGCGGGGGGGTGTGTGTGAACATATGTGAGTAGGCATATGTGAGTTGCCATATGCATATGAGTGGGTGTGTGTGAGCATGTGTGAGTGGGCGTGTGAGCCGCCATATGCAGGTGAGCAGGTGTGTGTGTGAGTGGGCATGTGTGTGTGAACTGCCATATGCATGTGAGTGGGTGTTTACATGAGCAGGTGTGTGCAAAAATGAGTGTGGGTGAGCGGGCATCTGCATGTGAGTGGGTGTGTGGGGGGGTGGTTTCCTTTTTAGTTCAGGCAGATGCTGGCGGCAGCAGCTGAGGCCTGAGGGAGGCCCTGGCTGCCCAGGAGCAGGTGCTGACCACAGAGAGGCTTCGGTGGCCTGACGAGGCTCTGCGGGCGGAGGGCACACACTTGCGAGACTGACCAGGACTGTGGAGTGTTCAGTGGTAACAGCAAAGCCACCCCCTGCAGTCCAGCCCTACATATACCCACACATTTGGCAAATGTACCTGGCACACATGGCCCTCAAGTCCAGGCATACCTGTGCACACACCAAACGTGTGGAGTCACCTCCGCCTGGGCCCCAAAGGGTGTCCCCGGAGCTGCTCATAGGGACCATGTCATTGTCTGGTCAGATTCACAGCTCAGAAATAAAGATGGCAACACACTGACAGTCTGCCTGGCCTGGAATTCCTTGGTCTGGTCAGGAATTGAAGAGCAAAACAAGTATGTGTGCTGTATGTACACATATGTGTGTGCATGTACATGTGTGCACTCATGTGGCATGTGTATACATTGTGCATGTACACGTGTGGTCATGGGTGGTGTTATGCATGTGTGTATATACACGTTTGCACTTGTGTGGTTTGTGTGCATGTACACGTGTGCACTTGTGTGTACACGTGTGTGTACATGTGGACTCGTGTGTGTGCTCGTGTGTATGGTGTGCACTCGTGTGTGGTGTGTGCACGTGTGTACCTGTGTGCATGTGTATGTACGTGTGTGGTGTGTGCATGTGCATGCACACGTGGGTGTACGTGGTGTGTACCTGCATGTGGTCTGTGCACGCATGCATGTACATGTGTGGTGTATGCACTGGTGTGTATGTGTGGTGTTTGCACATGTGTATGTACATGTGTAGTGTGTGCACTCGTGTATATGTCTTATGTGCACTCTGGTGTGTGCACTCGTGTGTATGTGTTGTGTGCACTCGTGTGTACATGAGTAGTGTGTGCATGCGTGTACATGTGTGGTGTGTGCATTTGTATGTGTACATTTTTGTTGTGCGTGATGTGTGCACACATGTATGTGGTGTGCACTCGTGTGTATGTGTTGTGTGCACTCGTGTACATGTTGTGTGCACTTGTGTGTATGTGGTGTGTGCATGCGTGTACGTGTGTGCACGTTTGTATACATGTGTGGTATGTGCATTCGTGTGGGTGTACATTTGGGTTGTGTGCACTCGTGTGTACACATGTTTGCATGTGTGTGTGGTGTATGCACTCATGTGTACATGTGTTGTGTGTGCACTTGTGCATGTACATTTGTGCTGTGTGCACTCATGTGTACACGTGTTTGCATGTGTGCGCATGTGGTGTGTGCATGTTATTTGTGCATGTGTGTACGTGTGTGTGCAAGCATGTGTGTGTGTGCACATGTGTATGGTGTGCTCATGTGTGTGTGGCGTGTGCACTCGTGTGTGTGCACCTGTGTGGTGTGCGCTCTCGTTTGTGTGTGGTGTGTGCACTTTTGCATGTGTACATGTGTGTGCATACAGTCATGCCACATAATGTTGCTTCAGTCTACAACAGCCTACATATGTCATGGAGGTTCGGTCATCTGACGACGGGGCTGCGAGTTTCCTCTCACTGCAAGGTGAAGCTGTTGTGCCTTCACATGTGGCGGCCGTGGTGTAAAGGAGCCACCAGCCTTGTGAGAGTCTGGCACAGCAGGGGTGCCCAGCACGTCATGCTTCACAAACATCTGTATTGCGGGCATCTGCGTTTCCCTCACACACTTTTATCATGACTGTGATGCACTCCTTCTATAAAAGACGTTGCCTGGAGCAGCCTCGGCTGGTCCTTCAGGAGGTACTGAGAAGGCACTGTGGTCACAGGAGACGCGCTCCACGCGGGTTACTGCGCCTGAAGCCTTTCTGTGGGGTGCAGAGGTGGCAGAGAGGAATGTCGATGACTGTCCCTGTGTGGGCCCAGGCTCACACGTATGTTGTCTTTTTATCAAAAAATGTTTTAAAATTTTAAAATGTTAAATATAAAGAATAGGCAAAAAGCTTTAGAATATATAAAGAGGATATTTTATACAGTTGTATGATGTGTTTTAAGCTAAGTATTATTTGACAAAAGAGTCAAAAAGTTGAAAAACATGAAAGTTTATAAAGAAGTTACAATAAGCTGGCCGGGCGCGGTGGCTCACATCTGTCATCCCAGCACTTTGGGAGGCTGAGGCAGGTGGATCACAAGGTCAAGAGATCGAGACCATCCTGGTCAACATGGTGAAACCCTGTCTCTACTAAAAACACAAAAAAATTAGTTGGGCATGGTGGTGCACGTCTGTAATCCCAGCTGCTCAGGAGGCTGAGGCAGGAGAATTGCCTGAACCCAGGAGGTGGAGGTTGCGGTGAGCCGAGATCGCGCCATTGCACTCCAGCCTGGGTAACATGAGTGAAACTCCATCTCAAAAAAAAAAAAAGTTACAATAAGCTCAGGTTAGCCTATGTTTTAATAAACATTGTTACTCTCCGTACATGGTGTTTACAAACATGTAGGATTAGGCGAGCCCTTTTTGTGGACACAGACGTGGTGGTAATAATATAAAAACATGCGTGGGGCCAGGCGCTGCTGGGACACTTTGGGAGGCTGAGGAGGCGGGAGGATTGCTTAAGGCCAGGAGTCTCAGACAAGCCAGGGCAATGTGGCAAGACCCCGTCTCTACAAAAAATAAAAACTTAGCGGGCGTGGTGGCACGCACCTGTAGTCCCAGCTACTCGGGAGGCTGAGGCAGGGGAATCGCTTGAGCCCAGGAGGCAGAGGCTGCAGTGAGCTGAGATTGCACCATTGCACTCCAGCCTGGGTGACAGAGTAAGACTCCATCTAAATAAACAGATAAATAACTTGAAAACCATACTTGAGATTGTTGAAAGGTCTAGGTTAAATTGGGAGGGTTTGGTGGTGCAGGGGAGATCTTACACCCCCTGCCTGTGCGTTCCTGAAATCTCAAAACATGTTGTGTTGTAGAGATTCAGGGAAGCTGTCAGCATTTTGGTGAAAACTGCTGGATGGCAGGGGCTTCTTTCCAGCTCTTGGCAGATCTCATAGATGCTCCTGGCAGGCCTGGGGGAGAGCTGGGCTCCCAGTGTCACAGCCGGTGCCTGCAGAGCTGAGAACCACGTGGTGCCTGGTGGCCGGTGGTCCTCCTGCTACCTCCTGACCTCCACGCCTGAGAAGCCAGTGGGGCCCACGCTGGGACTGGGGGGTCTGCTGCGTCTCCTATGTGGGGAAGCCTCAAACTCAAGCTCCAGGTGATCTGGAGGAGAAGAGATGGTACATGTCTATAGGCCTGTGTGTGAATGTACTGGGAGTGCATGCCTGCATCCAGACACACACACGCCTGCGTACAAACACGTGTGTGCAGGGTTGACCCAGAGCCCACGCTCTGCTCTGCCTTTGAGGACGGGTGTCCCTCTCCCAAGGCCTCTGCGCCATCCCCACCCCACTGAGGAGTTGACTTAGGGCCCTTCCCAGAGTCTGTGGGCACTGGAGGGAGGGAGTTCCTCCTTTGAAGGGGACCTGGAGTGGTACCCTCCTAGGACGCAGGAGGCAGCGGGGCTGTGAACGCCTGAGCTGCAGGCAGGTGGCTCAGGTAGCAGCCTGGTGGCACAGGCTCATGACTGCGTGCACGAGGCTGCTGATGGCGTTTCAGGGATGATGGGTGAGGTCGGGAAGAGCAGGGACGTGGTGTGGTTTTGAGGGAATCCTGCAGAGCTGTGGGGGTGGAACATGACTGATGAACAGCACCTGAGAGGGTGGGCGTGGTGATGACCACTGAGGAACATGGCCACGGCCCAGCCAGACCTGCTGGGGTGACAGGGTGAGCGTGGTGATGACCACTGAGGAACATGGCCACGGCCGGGCCAGACCTGCTGGGGTGACAGGGTGAGTGTGGTGA